CTCATCATCGATCGAACCATGTCCAACAATGTTCGATTCCTCCTTTCGGAAACTCCATTGAGTTGTGGAGTTCCAGGAGGCGTCCACTATGAGACAATCCCATTATCTCTTAAATAATCAAGAAACTCATTTGTTAAATATTCACCTCCTCGATCCGATCGAAGAACTTTAATATTTCTACCAATTTGTTTCTCCACTTCATTTCTGAATTCTTTGAACTTTTCAAATACTTCATATTTGAACCTTAATAGGTACACATAACCATACCGTGAATAATCATCAGTGAAGGTTATGAAATAGTGATAGTTCCCCTTGGCACTAACATTTAGTGGTCCACAAACATCCGTATGGATCAAATCCAACAGACCTTTAGATCGCTCCACTTGTCCAACAAATGGTGATTTAGTCATTTTACCTTTAGGACATGACTCACATGTAGGCAACCTATCCTCTCCCCTAAGGTCGAGTTTAGGTCCCAATTTGTGAATCCGTTTTTCGGATATATGACCTCATCTAGCGTGCCAAATTGTGAATGAACTATGATTATTTAATTTCCTTTTATTTTGTTGAATGGTTAGGATGGGTCTTTCTGGTGTAATNTTATTCATAATATAATTCCAATAGACTGTATTTACAAGTAGAATACGTCCAATTAGATTGGAACGCCGGGTACCCTACTCTAACAATATGGAGAATTCAAAAGCACAAAGTAAAAACCAGAAACATTACCTCTTGCCATTTCCCCCAAAATCTATTGCAAAAAGGGAAAGGAAGATGGTCTCGCGGGGCCGAAAGCTTCCGATATGATCAACTGAAGTCGGAGAAGTTGAATACTTATGTTACCCTAATTTTCTTCATAGCTCTGTCGTGTGCGTGTCCTGACATGCAATCTTCGCGGCCGAGTTGCAAAAAGAGGTACAGAAGTAACTGAAAGAGGCAATGGGAGGTCTGGGTCAGATACGCCAGCAGCGCGGCGGATAAGCGCTCTGCTCCCAAGGCGACGAGGTTTGAGAAACGATTCTTATAGATAGGGTCATTTCTTAAGCCTTAACAAATGTCACAAAATCAATCGGCAAGGTAGGGCAGCGGAATCGTGCGGCACACCAGAATTTCCGACCTTTCGGACGGCCCACCCAGGAATAAGAACGTGGGTATGTGGCGTGTGGCAGCAAGAGCGAGATGTTCAGCCACAAAATGTAGAATGAAACGCAACCTCAAGAAATCTAATCAGTAAAGAGAGGATGGGACATATACGATAGATTGTGCACGTCTGCCCAGATTTTGTGCGAGGAAATCCCAAACTCATTTAGATTGAGGCGAGTTAATTGCAAATTTGGTCCCGTTAGATTGGGACGTTCGCAATATTAGTCCCAAGAGGCGCAATTTCAGTCCTTACCTAATTTTTGTTAGCGCAATTGGTCTCAAATCTAACTGACCGTTAAGTCACCGTTAACTCTAAGGACTAAAATTGCAATTGTGGGACTAAATTTGTAATTTTCTCATATTTGATATATATAAAATAACTTTTCGTTTTTATTTTTATTTTTTATAATTTTATTCACCTCTGTAGTTATATTTTTATTTTTTATCAACCACTATAATCATAATAAAATTAAATGATGATTTTTTAAATATATTTATTATTTAATTAAAAATATTTGAAATATAGAAAACATTGTATTGCAATTAAAATTTTTAATATATTAATAATGATATAAATTTAATTTTATTTGAATTTATATATATAAAATATATTTAAATTTATATTTTT